TAATAAAAAGTTTTTTTTTTTTCTTTATCAGATAGCCTAAGTATAAAATGTCATAGATAAGATAGTAACTTTTAGCATAAATAATAGGAAAAAAATCAGCATTATTGCTTTTGTAGCTTACAAAATTAACTGATTTGTGCTTTGAAGAGAGATGGAATGTTGCCACTAGATTTCAAAGGGTCTCGAATCCATGCACATAATGTATTATTTGAAATCTTATTATTACCATTAGCAGATATAAAAAGATTAGCGATTGGTCCACATAATTAATTTGTTCTCTTAATATAGTCTTGTATCGCCAATTTAGGACAAACTTTTGGATGACTCTAATAATAAATTTCTAATGATGCCGCTTCTTTAGCTGTTGTGGGGAATTGAATGACTACACTATGACCTGATAATTTACTGGAATTCCTTTTCATTCGTGATATCGTCTTGGTATCATATTTCGTTATCAAGCAGCTTTGCTTTGACAACTCATTCAAAGATAAATTTGCATTATCTTTTGATGTCATAAAATATTTTGAAATCTTTTCAGGGTTCCATCTCACTGTACTACTCGGTTCTGGAATCAGCTCTGCCATATTGAATCGGTTGTCCTGTTGGATGAAACAAAAGATATCAAGAATTGTTCTGAGTTCTAAAGTCTTTAAAGAAAGATATAGATAAGCTTGCACTAATAAAAGTATTTTCCAGACAGTATGTTAGACATAATTGTTTCTTACATAAGGCCAATCACACTATTGAAAGTTGATTCGTCTTATCTTTGGGATGAGTTTTTATACGATTACTTATGGAAAAGAGTTACCAGAAAAACTAAAATTATTGTAACTTTGTATTTGTAATCTTCATAATTTCGAGAGTCTATAAGAAACAGTTTCTTTACAAACGTAAATGTATCACAAAATAATTATCATAATATAATATGATCTTACAATTTTATCTAAATAAATACATTTTTCCTTCACGAATTACTTTAAAAAATCTATTAACTGATTAATATTTTTTTTTCTTTTGATTTGAACGTTAAGTCAGTAAAACACATTTTCTTGTTTTCATTTTATTAGAAATTTTTGTTTTTACTTCCACCACTCAATAATATATGGTAAAAGAATAGGATGATAAAAGAAAAATTGTTTTTATTGAAAGTGCTTTTGATTAATATTTTTCTATACTATTGCTGATCTTTTTATTATTTGGAAAAATAATTTTTTTCAAATATTTGCCGTTATTATTTTACAAAAAATCCATAGTACAAAAAACAATTGATTGTAAGCTCGCACTTACACATCATTGTATGAACGAAAGACAAAAGGTCATGTGGTTAATAAATTCTTATTTAACGATTTTTATGAAATATGAACAACAAATTTATGTTATATCCAAGCTCCAAATTAACAGTTTGGTCTTTTGTAAGCCTTACATTACGCGCACGAGAATTTGTCTTTCTTACTTCAGGGTAACAAACTAGTATAAAACAATAAGAATTTTTACACAGAAATCTATACTATAGTTTTAAAGAAACGAACTGTACCATTTGAGATGGTTGAAAATTAATAATAAATACTATGATTCTCAACTAGTATAAATTCCTATACTAATGATATTTTCATATCTAGTTAATAGACATGACTACTCCACTAAAGTACATTGGATGATCTAATATGTATGCATGTATGTGTGTATGTCTTTATGTATGAACGTATGCATGTATGCAAATATGAGAAAATCCACTAAAAGTATCCCGTTTTTATGTCCGATTTCTTAATTAAAATTTTGTTCGTGTCACATCCTCAAGATAGGGCTTATCTTTCTCGTAATGTTATGTATTGTGAGATAAAAATTATGAAAACGGGTTTCAGTAGAGGTGACAGCGTTTTTCTGTAATTTACATACGATTTCTATGTATACCATGTATATAGATATAATTTTTGCATTCTCATGGTATATGACATTGCGAGCAAAGTAAGCCCAGTTACAAGGATGTGGCTAAAAAAAATGACCTTTAAAAATCGGGGACAAAAACGGGATATTTTTTATGGATTTCCTTATATACACGTATACGCACTAAGCCAGCTTTGTGTCTGTTGGAAGTTGGAACGGTTAACCAATTTGTGTGCATAGTGACATTCAGCATATTATTTAAGCCTGAACAAGCATCGTAATCGACAATAGTGTAAGTTACAAGGTAAATAAGATTGTAATTTTTCAACCCAATTTAATATGATATGGTGAAGAATTACATAAATTTGTCATGAAGAAAATGTAAGTCTGATGACAGTACCTTAAAATTACCCTTCACTTGAGATTGTGTTGGCTCATTCATAGATACATCCTGCAATAGATCATTATCTAAGGTATTGTTTCCTGTTTCGGTTCCCATGAAAACGTCCTAGCGTCCTGAAGCCGTTCTCCATTAGGATTGTGGAATAAAAACTGATGCAATTCATTACTTTCACCATCGTCCTCACTGCCAAAAATGTTCACTTAAATCTTGCCAATATTTCTTATTAATGATGTTAAGCTCTGGGTCATCTCACTAGGTTCTTAAAGTTCGTTGTACAATGAGTTTACAGCACTCATCCCAACTGCAATCTGGAGCAACATACAATTTTCCGGAATCTTATAACTTTTTATCATTTCATTTTCCTCGGCCTCGGATAGAAATAAACCGCTTTCCAATTTTTGACCGATTTTTTCCGGGATTAAAGCCTCACGACATCCATTTTGTTTTTTTTTTTTTTTACAAATAGCGCGTACAACATCTACTTTCTAACTTTTTTTTTTCCTCCCTAAAGGATTCATGAGTTTCTCTGTCGCGTTGCTTGTCATCATTTTGGTCATAGTTTTTTGGCACTGTATAAGAGCTCAAAATATTCGTCAAACATCGTACTTTAATGATACGTAAAATAAATTTTTAATGATTACTTTCTGTTCTAACAGTAAAGCCAATATAATTTTCCAAAACAGGTAAGGACACATTATAATGTCTGTGGCTACTTACGATGGGTTTTTTTTTTTTTTTTCTTACCTTCCTTAAACTGCTTTTTGCGTGAATGGTGGCTTTTTTTACAGTATTTCGATGATTTTGGCGATGATTCTTCGTCACTTGAACTTCTTGAGCTCGGGCTTGCACACCTTTTCTTTTTCTTCGTCCTTAATATTACGTCCTGTTTTTGTGACTTCATCAAAAGGACTGAGATCCGTACACATTGATATCCGACTCGGATGTGTTACACTAAAAGATTACTCACCAAAATTTATAGTATTTTGCTGCAAGTAAGGAAATAAATCCTGAGCAGGACATGGGTGGTTCCGTCCATTGATAAGACCAAAATAGATTGTGAGCTTTGTGTAGACGTTTGCATACGAGCAACATTTGTGAAGACAATAAAAAATATCTCAATTCAAACTTTTTTTTGATCAAACCTATTCTATGTTTATCCATTTTAATTTTGCCAGCATACATAAGACAAGCTCACCTTCAAATATTCAAACCCATGAAATGTAGCCGTGCAGTATTATTCACACAAAGCTTCGTCATACGTATTTCTTTATAATTTTTATTTTTGCTTGTATGTATATAATAAAGTCCTTCATATCTTAAGACATTTCCGACCCATTCCGGTTTCATTTTAAAGATAAAACTAATTTTGGCAGCAAAAAGAAATGTAATAATTACTATTATTCAATGACTGCGTGTAGGCGTAGTCATTGTATTTCAAGCTGTTTGAATGTTCCTTAATTAACATAATACTCATCGTCACGGCAGGATTGTATGAAATTATTTAAGGTACCGTACTATAAGCCTGTTATGCATATCAGACCATGTGTAACATATATCCTAATGCTCTCATTTAGTATCCATGGACTTTCTATCTCCACAAGCGTAATAGATACACCTGTTTGACGTTAACTCGCATTGCGTGAACTCTTAAGTTTGTTTCTGATCAATAAATTTTCCTCCAGATTTTCTCTTGATAAAATAGCTCTTATATTTGTGGCTTATCTTCTATTTAAAGTTTCCATGAACAATGTGGTTATAAAAGGTTTTGGGCTATGATTCTTGCGACAAATAGCGCAGATCTATACTAATCATTAAATTTAGTAAATAAATCAATTGTAGTATTAAAATTAGATAAAATTGTTTTGCCATAGTTCTCTTGTACTGAAGGTTTAAAATTCATAAATATTTTTAGCATCTATTTTGTTTCTAATTCATAATATTGAACGTTTTTTACGCTCATTTGTTTGTATGCAAAATTTTTTCTAGATAACTAGATCTTCCCTACGTAAAAGTGTCATGAATATTGTTGTTTTTAAAATTGTAAAAATAACTCTGAAAACCATACATATAATTTTCCTAATGATAGCTTAAAATTTATACCATTGCATTTCACCAGCATTGATAAAGTAATGAAATGAGTAACCCAAACATCTTTATAATGTGCTACAATCGAGAAAAATCAGTCAACCGTAACTCTGTACTTATTAATCTGACGCAACTAATCTACAATGTGAAATATCGATCGAGTCTTGATTGTTCATATCAACACTTGAAAAGTTCGTATACAATAAATGTAAGCCTTATTGAGGCTTCAAGCACAAAACCAACATAGTTTGCAACTCCAGGACAGAGTAAATTTTTGTTCGCTGCCCAAATGGAAGTGACTGCACCAAAGATGTGATAAAAATTCAATTTCAAATAAACTGACATGAGGAATCCAACCACGATAGATTTTCACACATCTTTTTACCCACTACGTAATTTTCATTCGAAATAATGTTTCTGCATGCGAGCACCAACCGGTTCCCCGCATTATTAGAACTTTTTTTTTCCCCTCCAACACTGGGGTGGCGTTAAATTTCCATCGATACAAAGAGATAAGAAAAAAAAGTCCCGACCCAAGGCGCGTGCAACGTTATCGAGCACGTGCTTTTTTCCATCTACGACGCAATCGAAGCTATTAGCATTCCGTTTCGTCGACCACACATACATTTGAGAAGTTCGCGACAGGAATTCTCGTTTTTCATCTATCTCTCTCTCTCTCTCTCCCCCGAAAAAAAAAATCTCACGCGGAACTGAAAATCTGCCGAATATCAGTTTCGGTGTCCATGCGGGCACCGACATCCAAACCCCCGTCTGGCTATCGCGTTACACCTCTAACAGCGCCAAATGTCCTCATCGAGGTGCAATTCATGAAAGCCACTGTCGTCACAGCGACAAAGAGGCTCCAAAAATAGGGAAAAAAATCGCAAGTTATCAGGACAAGTGTCAAGCAAGAGAGCGTGAAACAATGCCCCCCCGCAATATTTCGCTCGGTGATTTGCGCAAGAAAAGACAAGTGCCTACATGCCCCCAAGTAACAGCAGAGTTCGACAGACGGATGTATGTATATCTGTGCAGTGTCCTTCCACGGTGGGTTTTGAGGTATGGCTGGAAGAAGCAGGAGACGAAGGGGACATCTACTCACATGCATGCGTGCGCTAGTTGTGTATATATACTTAATATATCGCGAGTCGAGTGCGTGTACGAGTTAGCGAGCACGTGAACAGAGAAAGAAAGAACCGGGCGCGTGTGTACGAGCGGCGGCATTATGTTAGGCGTCTATGTTATACACCTGGGTGTGGTTGTCGTTGGGTGCACCTATCGGCCCGCGTGTCTGGGGCCTCTCGGGCGGCCAACAAGGTGGTGGTGGTGGTACGGGTACAATGTGCACGGCTCAATGCCAGGAGACACAAGAAAAGAGAAATGGGGTGGGGTTGACTGTGATCGCGGATTTCCTCCCCCTTTGGCTCGGGAGAGCAGACCCGAGCTATCGAGGAGGTATAAATTGACGGGTCCTGGAGCCTGGAGACCATGTGCACCCGAGGACTTCGATCTGGGAATTGCTGCGTCTGTTTGCTAGCACACACGAAACCTACGATGATATCCATTGTGAGTACTCGACCAATGTTATTTTGCACAATTTTTATTTTCTGTTTTTTTTGTTTTTCTCTGTCAAGTTTTTGGCAGTTTTTTAAACAATTTTTTCTCGTGGATTATGTAACTTTTTTTCGGTACGCGAATTAAGTTTTACACGCAATTCCTGATGAGTTTCCAAGATGTTTCCATTTTGAGTTTTTTATTAATAAGTGCTAATATAAAACATTTTTGGATCTGTGATGTAACATGAGACGATTTCGAAATGGTCATAGTTGTATGTTGGACAAACTGAACTATAGTTAACTTTTGTTGGGTACGTAATGAACGCTCAGAGGGTTCAGCATTACGATTTTTGTATCGTATTTTGTTGAAAAGTGCCAATTCAAAAACCAATTTTTTGTCTAAGAAATGGAATATTTTTTATTAGGATTTCATTTTATTCTGTAAAAAATTATGGATTATGTAAAAAAATTCTTTCTCCATATGATTGAAACAGAGTAAATAAAAAGCCCAATTTTTAAAAATCACGCAGTTTCAAAGTTGCCGACCAATACCAAAAAAAAAAACGTTGACACCAGTATCACACATAAATTGTTCTTTCGCAGATCTTATTGGCCCTGGTGTCGACGGTCCTCGGGTCGCCGCAGTACTATGGCGGCCCAGTGTATGGACCCCACGGTGGGGCTGCGCCCCTGGGACCCGACGGACGCGTGATCGACACCCCCGAGGTCGCGCAGGCCAAGAGCTCCCACCTGGCCGCTCTGGCCGAAGCCGCGGCTCGCGCGCCCAAAGCACTGGACGGACCTTACCCCGGACCCTACGGAGCCGGGCCCGCCGGACCCTACGGCCCAGCCGGCTACGCTCCCCGGTACAGGTGACTTTTTAAAGACTGCTTGCCCCGCCGAGCGAGCTGCCGCTTCTTTTGCGCTGCTCAGCTGTTCTGGCTCAACTATGACCAGCCTTTGTTCAGCGAGTGATCCTTTACTATCTTTTTTTCTTTCGCTCCCATCGTCTCAACTGAAAATATATAAGATAACTGGTTGATTTTCGGATGCTATTCTTGGTTTTGGTATTGTATTCATCGGTGGATGAACATAACTGTGGCCTTTCTTACCGGACACCTTTGTTGGCTCATCTAACATGAATTAATTTCGGCTCTTGTCAATTTGCTTGATGGTGATTTTGCGTAACGTTGTTGTAAAATTACTAACAAATTTTTTATTCTTTTATTCACTTTTTTTATTGGAACAAGCGCGAGATAACAAACACAAAAAATAAAGTAAAGTGACCTAATAATAGCTCAACTTCTGCACGCAACTCGTAATAAATCATACTTTATTTCTCCGAGTTGGATGTAAATTTTGTGATAACACATTGCACCCTTTTTGCATGGTCTGACATCACGGGATTGTTTAAAACAGTGATTAATCCTCACAAGCAGCCTAACTGTAACAAACGTGGCCATAACCAAAAGCAACTAACCTCACCCAAGCTGTGCCCCACCCGTAAGAATTTGTAACCTAAAAAGAGTGATCGAAAAAAAAAATGTTTTTCTCCTCACCCCCTCGCAGTGGGCCACCAGCTCCTCTGGGACCTGACGGCCGTGTGGTAGACACTCCTGACGTCGCCAACGCCAAGGCGATCCACTTCAGCTTGTACAACGCCGAGATCCAGAAGGCCGGGCCACCAGTGCCCCCCGCGCCCATCCACGCTGCCTACCCTGGTGCCTACAACGACGGCTCGTACAACCCCGCCTACGATCACTACTGAGTTGGGAAAAAAATACTACGCACACACACACACACAAACACACGCGCACGTCCCACATTATTATCACGTCTGTTGTTCGTTCCATGCCACTGTACCGCCAACCATAGTCTCCACTCGAAACTAATATATCCACATCATACACATGATATACACACGCGCGTGCAACACATTGTATCCCGTGACGATAGTATCGTGAGCGCGCCTCTCTGACGTTATTTAGGAATTTTTTCTTCTTCTTTTTCTACTCCCCCTCCCCCTATTCCGGCCACCTGGACGGAACGGTCCACGCGCAAAAATCCGAGCTGTTACCTTTAAGTACTGCTGGTCTGGTACTCTCGCGGAATCGTCACGATTTCAATCGTCGAATCGTCGAAAGAAACGGGATGAGAATCGGTTGGTTCATCCGTGGAGCTTTTTGCGCGCAGATCGTTTATTTTTTTCCTCGTTCCGCGTTCCGTTCCAGCGCGCGGGAAACGTGTAAAAAGGACCCACGGGGGAATCCCCGCTCTTCCTCGTCTTTGGGTTATCGGTCCTCCCTTTGGTTTTTCCCTCAGCTCCGCGCCCGTGATTTTCCAGCCACCCACGCTCCTTCGACCTTTGAGCAAAAAACACGCTCTCGTAACGCAATATCGCGTCTTGCGCAAGCTGGCACGAACAAAGGCGCGCCCGGAAAGTTCAGCGCGCTCTGGAATCCCGAAGCGTCAAAGTTAACGCGCGTAGATCTCTCTCTCTCTCTCTTTCTGCATAGACAGCAAATCGTAAATCTCTCTCTCCATGTATGTTGCGGATATTTTTAATTTATCTCGTATGGAGGAAACAAAAGAAAAGGGGGGGGGTAAAAATCTTGTGACGGGTGACGCCCAATGATTTCCTCGACCCTATCTCTCGCGAAATGGATCTCCCACGCGCCTTGTAACTCCATATTCTCTATCTCTTTCGCTCTCTTGGACCAAATAGTGCACACAACCTTCTCTGTTCTATCGTATCTCTCTCTCATACGTGTCTTTTATTCTCTGCTGGCACAACACCTTTTTTCCTTCCAATCGCCTACAGGTGACACATACGCCTGTACTTTCTTAAAAGGAAATCACTACTCGGTTCACCTTTTACTTATTTCACACTAGCTTGCGAGGACCGAAACATCAAAGAAGATGGAACAGTAAAACGAAGAAGAAGAAGAAGAAGAACAAATAACGGCAAGATAGAGGAGCACCTGTGCATTACCATTACTCTGGACCTATCGGTCGCTCCGATTGCATGCTTTTGTACGACAGCGTTATCATAAACGATGGATATGAATAAAATAAAAAAAAATTGTTTATTACGTAAAAGTGTCTTGCTTTCATTCGTACATAGTCACATTTGCATATGCATACATAAGAGCCCTGATAAATAAAGCGTGATTATTTCCCGAAGAAAAAAAAAAAAAGACAACCCAATGATTTTCTCCACTTCTTTGTCCGTTCGATCGTTGCGTTGGCACGAGGGAATTTTTCGATACTCCTTCGCACTGAAACTTTCCTGCTCGGGCGAGGAAAGGGGTAACGCCTGTAGCGCTTGTATCGCCCGCACAATGCGTGTCCGAAACGAGCGCAGGACGTGGTACGCTGCATATAAATCCTAATTACGCGCTTTATTGAGTGAAAACGCAATATTTCACTTTGTGCCAACGCTGCGACGCTATTTGGACTCTATATTTCTCGAACGGGCAGGTGAGTGGATAATGATACTGAGCCTATAAACTCTATTTTTCCGATTATCTTTCAAAAAAGAGTCTTACATAGGAAAAAAACGGTCGGAGGGATGGCTTGCACTTTGCACAGCAACCAATCGTTCAAGCTTAACTGGGCAAACTAATCGACCGACATTAAATATCAATTACCACAGTACTACCTAAAATAACCAAAACTCACCACGCAAGACGATGCGAGGGAGGAAAAAAAAAGAAAAATGTCTGTCCCGTGATTATTTCGCAAAGCGCGCACGCCTAATCGCTACTTCGAATCCGTGTACACGTCGCCGGACAGTATACCCCTTCGTTTAGAGGGGAGAAACGTATGCACAGCCGATGGAGAGAGAAACAAAGGGCGAGTCGTTGTTTCTGCCGATCACCTACTCCGCACGTAATACACGTCTAACCACCGGCGCAATCGGAGACAGATCTCGGAGCAGGTATTTTCGAACTCCATCAGCTGGCTGGTCCAATTATTCGTTCCGCGGGCGAAAAAAAGCCAAGCTCGCACGCCACGTGCACACGTGTGTAGGTGGAGTTGCATTATCGCGGAGCACGAGTGGGATGAAGGAAACAAAAAAAAAAAGAAGGGCCCGTGCAGATAACAAACGAGTGATAGTATATATACATGCTCCCTCTCTCGCTCCGTTATCGCAGTCCTGTTCGGGCATGTGATTGCCAACGCACGTGGGCAATATTGATTAATGCGGACCGATACCCATATTCGACCGAGTTCTCGCGTCTTGCTGGTATATTATAAGGATACGTTTGTGTGGTTGATCGAAAAAAGTTGATAAGAGGCTGTGGACGCGGTAGCACTATGCTACTTTGCCTTGGGGTAATTATTACACCGGTATGATAAAGGCAGAGTTCATTTATTATTTGGCGTAATGAGGGCGCGTGCGATGTACTATTGTTTTGATTATTCGCGTATAATGGGTGGAGTTGAAAGGTAACGTAAGGTAGTGGAAAAGTCGAGTCGAAGTTCAAGACCGTAGTTTTATTTGATGTGGAGGGGAGAGTCGGCGACGAGGCAGGAATTTCGCTGTGCAGGTGAGTAACATGTTGCATACCGATGGTTGCAGTGGTTTTAGATTTATCGAGCAAAATTGATTGGTGATTGATACCGAGTCCTTGACTCGTGGTGGTGATTGATCGATATTTTAAATTACACAGGAGTTGAAGGAATATTTTTTAAGTTCGAATTATCCACGTGAATGGCATTCGTTTCTGATATGGGATCTAAATTGTGTGAATTAACATTCCTGGGATGTATTTACTTTCTACTTAATGGTACTCAGCAGTTAGAGCAGCTGATTCAAGGATTAATAGGTTTTGTGTTTTGATACATTATTTGAATTTTATTTTTATGTCCATGTAAATTTTTCATTACGTGTGTATTTGCTTTAGTAAATAGTATTTTAAATTAGTTATTTGGTCTTATATTTTGGGTAGCGAATAAAGCGAAGAGAATTAATTCTTATATTAAATTCGGAAGGTACGAAATTTGACATTTTATGGAGTATTTTTTATCAAGCAAATAGCTAATAGTTTTCAAAGTCTATGCTGTTTTTTTGTACACGTGTTAAAGTAGAATACTTTATATTAATTATAAAATTTATTAGTCCTGCCTTCAATGCTAAAAATAAGTTCTTTGCATACATTCGTTTACTAGTTTTTTGTTGATGTACAAAATTTACAAATAACTAATTTTTCTGCTTTCTTACCTCTAGTAAATTATTTTTCATGAGAAAAAATTGATAAAACAACTTAAAGTAAACATTTACGAGAATAGAGACGAAATACTTTTTCCTTATAAATATGAAATGGTTTTCCTTCAAAATCATTAAGTGCAACGTTAGCAATAGGAAATCAGAAACAATAAAATTAACAAAAAAAAAAAGTTGAAAATAAACTAGAGCTTGAAAGTCTGAATGCAGTGACTCTAGCCACAGATTCACAAGTACCTGACGAAGAGATATCTAAGAATTAAAAAATCTCACAAATGTTAATAAATTAGAGAAGGATCAAATAGATAAATTATTAAGATACCGTAGACACATTTTCGTAAGGAATCAGAGTATTTTAAGTATTATACATATGAATTACCAATAACCAGTAAAAATAATTTTTTTATCTAAACCTCATATTTATTAAACTTAAAGAGAAGGTTGACGACCAAATTAAAAGAATCATTAGACTCAATATCATAAAATATTTAAATAGCGCATGAGTAAATTAAATTTCAATCGTCTAAGAATCCAGCAGTTTAGTAAGGATATGTCTGGATGCTTGAAAAATGAGCAACAGTTTTATTATTTAAATATGATATTTTTAAGCATAAAGTAACAATTATTGAAAATTTTGATTACAGTATTTCAAATGTTGAAGTACAACATTTATTTTTTCCAGCGAGTTAATAAATCTCCTTAAAAACGACCGAAGCTCCTGAAATCTTTGTCTAATTTCTGTGGTTTCAAAACGATTTATCATTCTTACCCCCTATTAATTTATTTCAAGCCTTGTCCAATTCTACAGGGTAGTCTGAAAATAATAACAGCATTACTTATTTTATTAACTTGCAACATTATTAACAACTTTTCTTTGATTGTTTAGCCTTATAACACTATTTATTCAACAGTCAGCTATTGTATCGATGACGACGACTACGACGACGATGATAATAATAGAAAAAGGGGATTCAAAAAATCTCTGTACACCCTTACATCGATAGGGAAGGGGGTTAAAGCCATTTTTACGTAATATTTTACTAAGTTTCTAAGTTAATGTGCTTCTATTTGGTAACACAGGCAATCTCCATGGCTTTATACACGGATTTATTCGAAGCATTTTCAAAACGTTAGTCTAGTGAACTACGAAACAAAGTATTTTTAATTAGTCTAACATATACTAAAAGGATTGAAGGAAGTAATTCCATAATACAGAGCTAAATAGTGCTACTGATAAGAAGATTTTACAGCTGAAGGCCGAAACGAAGACAACGCAGTCAAATTTGCTTCATTTTTTTATATAGATTAAAACTGTTTTATTCTTTAAGTGTCACATCTCATAAGAATTGTTTTAGGAACCAATTTAATTTAACTCCAGCAGGTTTTAAAAATGATAAAGAGAAAATTTTGTGCATGGGGCGGGAAATCAAGAGAAATTAAACGAAAAATTTAAGATAACTGCTACTTCCAATTCTGATGTTGGCATGCGGACACGTCAAGCTGCACCTCTTCGTTTGAAAGAGAACGAGCAAGACTTG